CTTAAGAATTAAGATTTAAGAAAATTGACCAATCACAATCGATTATTCTTCTCACGTGAGATGAATAATCGATTGTGATTGGTCAATTTTCTTAAATCTTAATTCTTAAGTTTCATTGACGCCGCTTTAAAGATATTGCGAAGGGGAAGTTTGCTTTTTTGAGTTTCTCTGATAATCAAACAATTATTGTGTGTAAATTTAGGAAATCTATTATCATTCTTCTGTCCTCTTTAAAACATTTAATATCTTGCAAATTTCAAACGCGGAAAATCTTAAAATCCACGAAAATACTGCTTCATGTCAAATTACTCACTTCAAAGTCGTTGCGAAACATCGGACTGAACAAATATACGAAAAAACTGCATGCACATCATCAACGAAGTTGACCCGATATGTAAATAAAATTTATTTCATGCATTTAATATTTAATTTCATATTTAATTCTATTTGCGTTAAAGATATGCATGCGAAATTTAGGAAGGACATCTTTTTGGAGCTTTTAACCCAATAGAAGTGTCATTCATTTTTGATATATATGTATTCTTTTTTAGAATTCTTTTCTTGAATTATTTATTTAGGATTATTAAAACTTTTGATACGAAGGAAGAATGCTGTTTTCGCCCTAGATGTTGAAAGGATTTCTCGATACCAGCCATATTGGGTTAAAATTTCTAATTTGCACTTACTGTCGACACAAAGATTTAAAAGTTTGCGCAGAGATCCAGAAGCCACTGCAGGTTCTTTAAAACGCACGCAATCTTCGAGATGAGTATCTTTTATTCTTGCAGTCGCAGCTTCGCTGACAGTTGAAACTGGCTGCAGCTGCGTTGTGCAGAGCAGTTACAAACACTAGTATGCATGCGGCAGTTTTCGGATTTGTACCGTTTCCTCGCTACAATTCGCAGCATACTAAGGTAACATATATTCTCGCGAGAGAGGTCCGCTCCTCTGCGAAAAAAAATATATATACGTTTCTCGTGTTAAAAAAGCGATAACTCGGTAGAGTAACGCATGCAATGTAACAACATTTTAATTTAAAGATGTAAGAAACGTAAAAATTATAAATATATAATAATTAAGTATTATACGATATCTATAGGATATAGATAAAGTTAGAACTTGAGAAAAGGAAAGGAGTTTGGGAAGAAAGAATTAAAGAATATAATAAAATTTGTATCCAGATTAGAAATTATTGCAAGATGTCGGATTCTACGATAAGTTAGAAAAAAAATAGTAGAATCTGAAAAGTAATTCTTTTCGTTAATAAAGGAACTCACCGACCAAGCTTGACCAATGTTAGTAATAGGCAGGTTGTTGTAACGCCGCTGATTGTAATCGTAATTGACTTTTGGTGTCTTTTCAATAGGTATTGGATTGGAGAATTGCTTTCGCCATTGTTGTCTATTCAGTAGTTGCTCTTCGTTTATTTGATCTTTAGCATCTCTAAAAGCGGTGACTTTTGCTTCCATTTCATCGGCTCTATGTTGCTCCTGAAACATATATTATTTAAACGATCTTTATATAGATGTAAGAATAAATTAGTCAGAAATAAATATTTCTTTGATAATGATCTGATGACATGATACAACTAACAACATATATGAAGATGTATAATATCGAATCTCTTTATCGATACAACTATATAGGTATTGTTTTGCCAAAAGCTTTTGAGTTAATTAACATATAGCTATTTTACAAAGTACAGCAAATTAAACTACTTTGCGTTCATAAATTGACGATGCAGTAAATTTTTGACTGACCTGTAATTCATGTGCTCTCTCAGCCTGAACGAGATTCCTAAGCTCTTCGAAACTGCCGTATTGAGGAGGAACCTGTGACGAGATACCGCCGCCAACACGGAAGTTAGTTCGTTGCTTATTTGGTAGGTATGGTCCTGTATTCACTTTTCCGAAATATTGCGCGTAGCTTTCTCCAAACTTCGGACGCAAAGGGCCTCGCATCGCGTTTCGCCATCTGGTTCCTGCCGGGGCTTTGTGCACCATCCTTCCATAAATCGGTGCACCTCCGGCGGCCCGACTGCGCGGTCGTCCGGCGTGTCTTCCTGCAATGTGAATTATTAATTCTTCACTCGCTACCTATCCATCCTCTTTGCATTAGTCTCTTTCCTGTAAATATTATTTTGCGCAACGCAAAACAATTACCTTTTTTTTTGCACAAAAATCAATACCGCCGTGAAAATTAAAAGATCATAAACTCCAAAAAATACATGCGAGAGGCATTTTTATTTTTATTTATTTATTTTATATTACAATGCGAGTCTTGCCAAGATAAATTTAGATATAAAAGAATATATTTCCTAGGAGAGATTCAATAAATAATAATTAAAATTATCTAAAGCAAATTGGATCCTTTTGTTTCTTTGTTTTTCAAAAAGAAAAAGAGAACTTGTTAAGTCATTAATTAATCAATTATCGTATAGAATTAATTTTTTTTACAGGAAAGAAGGTTAAATTATTTGAGAATAAAAATCAGTTAAAAATATCTTAAATTAACAACACACGCTTCCGGAATAACAATCGTTCACGACGCAATATAGCACGAGTGGTTAAAATCATCGAGATTACGTGCGTTTCCTGCGTGGGTGGAAATGAGTGACGTCAGGTCAAGAAGCCTGTATATTGGGTTTCGATGGATAAAAAGGGTTTGAAAAGGATTGCTGACATTTCGCGTAGGCGAAGGTGTCACGAATTTTACAGTGGTGACATTGCGATGCATTTTAGATAAATTAGATGTTATAGCTTTGTTTTTGTGTTTGCGTAAATACCGAGAATTAACTACTCGCTAACTATTCATGGTAATTACGTAATATATGATTGAAAGGCATATATATTCAAATACGATCAGATATTTATAATTTGATGCATTTCCAGCTTATTTATTCAATTACATAGTAAAAATAAATATAATGTGGCTATTAATCGACTTAAATATAACTAAATTTTTATAAATTAAAAAAAAATAAATATAATGCGATTATGCTAATACTAAAATGAATTTTTGAGCAATTATGAAAAATAAGCACTATACTGCCGTGCTTAAAAAGTTAATAAATTAAAAAATAATTGTAAATAAATTTATGGCGTAAATAGCATAATAATATGTAAATAAATACAGAGACAAATAACGAATTAATTTAATTTAAGCAACACTCTTCTTTAATTTTTTAACTTTAACTGTATTTTAAGACTGTAATTTAATTAAGTTTATCTCTCTCTCTCTCTTTCTTTCTTTCTCGATCATATTAGATTAACTGTATTATTACTAATGGAGACAAAAAACTTATCGTAAAGACGTCATTATGAAATGAAAATATTTAAATTGATAAATGTATAAGAAACAAATTAAGAAGTGTGCGCGCATGTGCGTGTACGTGTGCGTGTGTGTGTGTGTGTGATATGCACTAGAAATGTGCGAGTTCAGAAGGGTTATTCGACTAATTAAGATTTGTAAGGAAGAGAAATTAAATAATTCAAGCGCGATGTATGTTAATTGCGCGTTCGCTTTGCGAAGGCAATCGGATTTGGATGTGGTCAAAGCGCTCGATTCGGACCTGCGATGCTATCGCGCTTCAAAGCGATAGGTAACCAACATTCTCCCGATAATTAGCTTGAATCATGTATACTCGTTAGCGTAAGTGCTCGGCGCGTATGTGGTAAAGTGGCGCGCTTGACCCACATGTGCGTCGCGTATTTGCAAGATGGTATTGCAGAGTCCGGCGGGCAGGTTTGCGTTGCAACTCATAGATTACGATGCACCACTCGATGTATAAAATCAATAAAACGCACGTGTTCCTTCTCTTACGTTCGTATTTCACCCCGACGCGCGACGATACGGCGTTCTTTTATAGGAAATTTATTGAGGAAAACATCAATTCACGCAAGAATTCGCGTCTTATTACAGCCGATAGCGTGACGAGATAAATTTGTATTCTTATCGAGTTGCTGACGGGAGAAACGATATTTTTCTTCGAAATCTTCGAAATAATTTTACATTTATTAAATAGGGAAAAGGAGAGTAATTAAGATGACGAATTGCTAATGTTTTAAGTTAATAACAGTTGATAAGTCAATGGTTAACTTATTAAAGGCTTTAAATAATAATCTCTAATAATTTCATCTCAATGTCTGTCGACAGAAACGGATAATATAATGAGAAATATGTTTTAGACAAATTTATAAGTAATTTTTTGGTGTTTGTTCATAAGGAATAACAATTATAATAAATATTTTTATTTTTTTAAGATAAAAACACAGTATATTAGAAAAAACTTACAAAATAAACATATAAAATAATATACTGATATTTTTTATTTTTTTGCATTGCAACATTTTATTAAGTGAACAAAAACACAGAAATTAGAAAAAATCGACTAATCTTAAAGTCGCCATCTTACCCTCCTTTTTCTTAAAGCAAACAAGTTAAAAACGGATGCAGAAAATTTGCTTACCTTCCAACTCTTCTCGTAATTTCAGTCGTGTAGGTGCAACAATATCTGCGCAAAGCCAATCAGTCATTTTAAATTTTTATCTTATGCTTAAAGAAATCATTTCTTATTCTTTTATCAGGGTATAATACAGTAGCGTAATTTAAATTTTAAACATTTTTAACAATTTCTCGAAAAGTAATAATTTTCCTATCTAAAAAAGTGCATGTAAAGTCGATAACTCGCATTTCTCGAAATTATTTGTCGATAACTCGCATTTCTCGAAATTATTTGTTGTTGCTTTTCCGCGATGCTGATTGACTGTCTCGTTGCGCTAACTTCGTGTAAGCGGCTGTGTCATTGCATTTTGACAGTTGTGTATATTGAGGTTGATGTTATTATAAATGATAATAAGAACTGTTAAATAGCGCGCGCGAAGCGCGCGTTTGTAGTGCTAGTATCTTTAAATTGAATATGTAGCAGAAAACTCACATGTTTAAAGAATATTTATCCAATATATATGAAAAATTATTCTTTAAATTTTGAGATGCAACGTCATTATCCGATTTACTCCTACAATTTTAATGAAAATCAATTTTGAGGAGTAATTTGAATAACATTGAAAATGAACATTAATATAATACAATATAATACAATAAAAACCAAATCTTATATTTAATTTAAATGTTTTTTTAATATTATTACATTTTATATATGTATACATTTTATTATATTTTCCAGATCAAATTAAACACAAATTAGAAAAACATAAAGTGAATCATGTTAGTCTCAATATTTTAAGTACGACGAACATAAATGAACTTTTTAACAGTGACATTGATAATAAAATAAAAAAATTATATTTATATATTGTGTTTTAAATATTAAATTGCACTTTTCAGACACTTAAACAGAAATTAGTAAGAGAACCTCTGGCTTCGAGATATTTAACTTTTTCTAAAGTTTTCTAAAACGCTACTAAACACAGCGGGATGCCCAATAAAAGTTCTAGGAACTTCATTTTTACCATATTTGTTTTTGTTTAGATTGTACTTTTCTGTATGGAATATGAAATAGTTATGCAGCTCCTAAAACCGAGATCACACTATCAATGACAGCTGTAACGGTTTGTTTCATGCTGTCTTTACTTCAATTCAATCGAGCATTCTTTTTTTTATGCTTTATGTCTGATATAATGAAATATATCTTAAAATCTTTTATTTTTCTGAAATTCTTGCAAATACTATTATCCAAATTTTCCCACTGTTCAAATTACCCCGCTGTATCCTACGGACGGCGCAAAGGTGAAACTCTGAATCTTTCAGAGAAAGATTTCGCCAAGTTCCGTCGCGGTTTCGCGTTGCTGGAAAGTGTAAGGGGTCTTACCTCGCGTATATCCTCTGGATAATTTAATGCGATCGGTAAACATTGCGTTGCGCGGCCATATATTGGGATTAAATGGGTATCCGTTGCCGTACATCGGGTATCCGTTGCCGGTTTTAGTAGCTCTGCTCTGCCTCTTCGTGTATCTCCACATAGCGCGCAGCTCGTCGCACGACGGCTCGGTCAGGTCCAATCGTTTGTCGCTGATGTCACCGTTACTTCCCGCCTGTGGATCGATGTATCGCAAACCCGCGACAAACGACCCGCTCGTATATGTCAGGACGAAAGCGATGCATACGGCCGTAGAGCGCATTTTCTAAAATCAAAACGATGAAAACCGATTGCACACAATTTCGGCAGTAATAGTGTATTGTCATAAGAAAGCAATTTGAATTGAAAGAAAAAAATAAGATTTAAAAATTGAACATATAGCAAGAAACTGCATACCGTAAATATTTATATAATTGTACCTTAATATAATTTATTAAAATTATTTATATAATTATTATTTTTATATAATTTATATAATTGTACTTTTGCAAAAGAAATATGTAAAAATTGCATATTTTTTCCGAAGCAACTGAGTGTTTTCTTTACACCAATCGATTCATCTTATTATTCTGCGCATAAAAGTATTAAGATACAATTCAAGAATATTAAGAAATTAATAGTTAAAAGATATTTCATATTTCATGTCGAAATATAACACGATAAAGTGTTAAATATCTTGTAAAGTATTGATTTTTCGATAACTTTACCACTTCTTATATGCAGAATAATTAGAGCAATTATACTATTTAAAAAAAATTATTCCATTTAAAAAAGTGAAAGATCTCCATGCGATCTTAAAAATTCGATTTTTTTTTGGTGAAATTGATTTTACCATTGTCCCCCTTTACATCTTATAACTTTATCTGAAATATTTTTTTGTATCTTTTGTATTTTTCGAGATATTTGCCTGGGGAAATTAAAATGGGACACCTTTTATATAAAGTAGAAGTCATAAAATCGCAACTTTCTAAAATGTCTAACGTTCCCGGATTTATCAAAACGTAAATTTCAATTGTAAATTATCAGAATTTTATATGGGTTTATTTTACCCGTCGATTGTAGAATCATATGAAAAGTCGACGTAATATTTCACAGATTGCTACATATTTGTAACAGTGCATACTACGTCTTTGTAAATAACAATGAAATTGAATAACGTGAAATCAAGTGAAGCAATATATTGTTAGATTTAGCAGACTGTCGAGATACTTTCTGTTGCAAGCTCGCTGGCGGTGAGATCAAGCAAGCGTGCTCACACAGACACTCATATACATGCATGCACAGAAAAATGAAAAATCTCGAAATTTAGCAATATATTGTTTGTGCTAAATATACAATATATAATATGTATATTTAGATATTATATTTACATATTGTATATTTAGTATATATATATATTTTTTTTTGCATTTCACACACGCATGTAATTACTCTCCTTACGAACAATTTCTTAAGATGAACGAAATGTTTCATAACTGCAGGTCACAAAATTTAGAATGACAATAGCTTCCCAATTAATCTTAGCACATAAAATATATATAAAATTATTATTATAAACATTATTGTAAACATTAAATAAATTACTAATACGAATAATAGAGAACGTTTTTCTTTACAAGTTTTCGTTTTATTTAATATAGTACGTAATTAATTAATTAAATTTTTCTACGGATAAAGTCTGCTGTAATAATAACCTACTGGTTAAATAAAAAAAATTAAGTTATGTAACAAAGAATTGTTACATGGTGAGAAGCGCGCCTTTTAGGGGAAAAGATTAATACTTTGACTAATAATCCATTATCCCATATGGCATTTTACTTCACACGGATTATGAATCTTTGACGAGAAATGCAGATATTTTTTTTCAAATGATACTAATTTTTCTCGTTTTTCGCAGTCTTATAATGCGTAAAAATTTCAAGTTTTTATCGAGAATGCACAGAGAGACCGAGTGTGCGGAGCAACAAGCTGTTTGCGTCACATTTGCATTAATTAAGCACTAGCGCGTGTCGAGTGGCAATTGCAGTTCGAGAAGGCTGGAGTACTTTAACGCTTGTCGTCGAGAATCTGCCATGTATCCGATCAAATTCGCTCAAGACGAAATGTACCTAATCGGATCGGAACCGCAGTCTCCCTACTGTCAGTCTCGCTTTTCGAATGACATCGACAAATCGAATTGGAAAAGAGTTCGCCGTTCGATTGGCATTCCGGCCGAAATTTTCGGAGCTTTTTCAATTGGCGATACGGGTTCTTGCTTTAATGTTAAGCAAAGCTCCGACAATTTTACGAATCGCCGAAGATATCGAGGGAATTCATCGGAAAGAGTACGGCTGGCAATTTCGATTCTTTGGCCGATACATAACTCGAGCAATTTCGAGCAGGAAAAGGCATTATTTGCTTCGGTTATTTCGACGTTGAAATATGAAAGTCTGCCTTTTCTCTTATTCATTTTTCTTCGATGTGATATTATTGTACATGTGGACGATCGTCGATAATCTTTTGATACTGAAATCATTTTTCTTCAGTTACTAGAAATTACATTGTCGTATTCGTAATATCTACACCAGCTATTTAGAATTGTGAAACAAGAAAGCAAGGAAATAACATGTAACTGATAACATTTTTAATAATTTGTTAAATAAAATATTATCGCAAAAATTGTGTTAAACATTGTATATGCAATTGGATATATATGTATTCTTAAAAATATATGATCAGTTATTGCGATAAATATTGCCACATGCCTTAATAAGCGAACGGTAAGACACCCGCCTGGAGAGTAAGGAGGTCCTGGCTAAGGAAATATTTTTCGTAGCAAAATTTCTTTACAGTATTCTCGCATCGCGAGGGGAAGGAAGAATCTTATGAGATGCTTGTAAGCATCAGTATTATTAAATTAATTATCAATTTAATACTGAGATATTACTATTTTGATACAATTAAGAACTGCGTCGAGATCGAAAGTAATAACGCGCAGTTTTTAGAATTAGAAAAATGTATGTAGGTATATTAAATCACATATTAAGCATCAAGATTCTGCTATGCATATGGCGTTATTGCGGTTATTGGCCAATCTCGCGAATTTTAATTGTGATAAAAATATTGTATGCAGCCAGGTATACATATATTATTATGCAACTTAAATCCAAGCTATCGATTGAGCCTACTTACAATTAGAAGTTCATCGGCTCAGCCGTGAGATGACTGAGATCCGAAAATCTCGTGCTTGCAACTCGCTGGCTCGCCTTACTTAAATAAGATCCGGTCCATTTTGCGCGTACTGTTTAACGCCGTGAGACGACCGTGTCTTTTGACATATATAATCGTTTGTAAATAAAATAAAATACGTTTCCAAAAGATCCTTGCGAATTCACAACATATATGTTTACACATATTTAATACTAGGAAATAGTTACTTTTTTGTTACATAAATAATCTAGGATGATTTTTTATATCCTAATAAAAAAACACTATTATTAATTATACATATTGCAATATTATGGATTGTTTTATTAGTATTTGAGGTTATTATATATATGAATTTGCTCTATCTTTAAAAAAAATAGAAAGAGAGAAAAAATAAGGAGAAATAAGAAAATAAGTATAGCTTTTTGAGCAGCAATAAAAACTACTGTGACCAATTGTCAGTTTCATTTGCTCGCTGCTAGGATGTAAAAATCATCCCAGGTCACTTATTTCCAAAAGAATCCGGATCAAGAATTTAAAAATAAGGATAAAATAACATTTTTTCTTATAATCTTTTGACACTGTGTATTTTTTATCTAGTTATAAAGATTCTTCAAAAAGTGTATTCCGAATGTTTCAGTGATAATTAATTCAACAATAAAATTGTAAATATAATTTTTAAATCCAATATAATACCGTAATATAATTTTGTGTCATATTATATATGATTATGCAATACACTTATCAGCGGCAAGATTTTATTGAAGATGGAATTATGTTACTGCAGTTACTAAATATAAATCAATAAAATCTTGTTTTAGCAAAATAGCTAGAATAGTTTCAACATGTATGTATATACATACATTACATACATGTGCGCGCGCGTACGTGTGTGTGTGTGCGTGTGTGTGTGTGTGTGTGTAATGCGAATATCGGACAAATGTGTGGGTGGGAGCATGAAATCCAATTAGGAACAATTAGCTGTGCACTTCCTCGTTTTAGCCGCACGTTTCGTTGATTCGTTCGATCGGTCGGCTGATCGTAGAATGTATTTGGAGAAATATGGCGGAATGTGCAGCGATGCAATGAAAAGTGTGGACGGAAACAGCGCGTTGCCGCGGAAGCTCTCATTGTTTCGCAGCGTTGAAGCAAAGAGGATTGAAGCGGATTGAAGCGTCGTAGTATTATAAAAGTTCTCATTATTCACAAAACAGTGATGATAGTAATCTGTTTTCGTTCGTGCATTCTTTTGCTAAATAATCCGCGAAATGCAATTTATAATAGTTTTTTTTTAACTCCACGCGCTAAAACTAGTTACATGTATTATAAAGAACATGCATGGGATACGAGATAGAGAATTAGAAGTTTGGAACATATTTTTTTTTACGTTCCGAGGTCAAAACTGAAGAAATCTTTCTTAAATACATTTGATTATTTTTTAATAAATAATTTTGCGACTTTGCTTTATATTGTCTTTATATACGTGTAAATATGCGAATGCATAAATATACACATGAATTAATCAATGTTGAATGAACTTTGGAGAAAGCTGTTTGAATTGAAATTCGAGTCAGATAAGACAAAAGTCAATTTCGTTTAATATTCAGTTTAAAATTTAATTCGAAGAGTCCTAATAACATAGCATTATAATTACGCGTTCGATATTTCACACGTTTCACAAATAATAATCATTTTACAGGATATTGGGAATTAACAAGATTTTATTTTTTTCTCAGAATGCATATTCTTTCACATCCGTGTGCATCGTGTGATTATTATGCACGTGCATCGCTATTGAAATGCAATCGGATTATACCAGTGGGCTACTGAATGTTATTGCACTTTTGCGGAGAGATCTTGCATTGTCTGCATTTACATTCATAACACGCAAAATTCACCTATCCATTATTGATGATTTCTCATATAGTGAGGCGTGACGTATATAGGGCTGTATGTTCATTATCGGATTTTATCAGGATTTGGAGCTCTTTAACAGAATGACACGTGCTTTCATGATCACTAAATATATTCCACATGCTTTAAACATAATTGTACTTGAATTTTTATCACAATTTATAA